CAACAAAGTGCATTCAGAACAAAGCCAAGGTGCTTTAAAACTGCATAAACATCTAGGCCAGTAGGCCTACAACAAAATAGTGTAAATAAAGACTGTAACAGCCAGGCCTTCAACAACAACAAATGCACCTATAAGTGCATGCATACACATGTGCAAACTGGATAAATCCACATGAATGTAACTATTTACAAATGAAATTACAATTGAATTTCAAGAATCTGTAAATAAGGCTGTCTGTCCTCATAAGCAAAGTAGTAAACATTGTATAAAGATACATAAAGTGAAAACTGGATACAAAATCCACAATCAATTACAAATTAAATTACAATTTCAAGAATCTGCAAATAAGGTGGTCTGTCCTCATGAGCAATGTAAACAACATTGTATCATTTAGATACCGAAAGTACAATATATTGAACACTGTGCTGCTGTCATTTCCCCCTAATGATAACCTGAGATGGTGAATTATAACTCACAATGAAAATTGTTCAGGAAAGTGGGTATAGAGTCGACATGTAGAACTAGATAAGCTTATGATAAGCCAGCCTTGTCTACTTATTAAGGAAAAGTGGGAGGTTCTTTTTAATGAACAGTAGCTTCTCTGCTTTATCAGCCATAAGTCTGTTCCTCTTCTCATCAAGCACATGAGAGGCAGCGCTGAACAGTCTCTCGCTGTCAGTGCTTGTGATTTGATCTTACTCCGCATATTTGTCTGGGTGTTTTGATTTCAAGTGGTGGAGTAATCCCGAAGTGATGAAAGTCTTTGCAGTTACACCCCCTCGAGAAATGTCAGCTGAACACGTTTTACAAATCGCAATCCGCGCCGCTTTCTCTGATATTTTTAAATATCTCCAAGCGGCAGACATGTTGGCTGTGAGCCAGCCGCGAGCATGGCCGTGCTTGTCGCCGCGTTTTGATTATGTCATCACAACAACACGTTAGCTTACCAACGTAACCCTGTTCTCTGACATTCGGTGATATTTTTTTCGGCCAAAAGGGCCTTTTTAACCATTTTCGGCCGATAATTTTCGGTGCATCCCTAGTCTTTTCCCCCCACCCGCGGAGGAATGGGATTGAGCAATACACTTCGAGTTAACAGAGATCCAATTGGATCTCTGTTACATTCGCAATTCACTTGTTTTGCTTCAGTATCTATGCTCAGGTACACCTTTTTGTTTCCACAAAAACTGAGCTTACACACTAACTTCATGCATTTCACTTTGTTATTACAGGAGATCTACGCTGTGTGGAACACTGGACTACTTGCCTCCTGAGATGATTGAGGGGAAAACTCATGACGAAAAGGTTGACCTGTGGAGTCTGGGCGTCCTTTGCTACGAGTTCCTGGTTGGAAAGCCCCCCTTCGAGACTAAAAGTCACGAAGAGACCTACCGCAAGATTTCAAGGGTAAGGGATATAAAGCTAAAAAACTATACTCCTTGAAAATTGCTTTATTTTCAACATATAAGAAGTTTCGTCCCAGTGTTTCTCAAACTTTTTCATACCAAGGACCACTTAACCAATAAAAAAAACACTCGCGGACCACCTAACTCCACAAATATCCAAAAACACATCGTTTTTTACAAATCGCCTGAATGGTACAAACAAGTGGCCACATGTGTGATGAAGGTGTTTAACTGGACTATATCATGCAATCGAAAGTGAAACTTAAGCTCTCTCCACGCAAAACAACAACTCTCTCTAGCCCTCTAA